CAGCTGTTCCGCGGGAGAAAGATGAGGCTTTCTGCTCCTGTAAAGATTTACAGCCTTGGAAACCCTGTACAGGGTCGCTATGAGTCAGAACCGACTCCACAACACATAACAACCACCACTACCCTCTTTCCAAGGCCTTTTAGATTCTTAACACTTAATAACCAGAGGTGGTTTAGTTCTAAACTGTAGAAACCTTCATTTAAAGCATGATTTTTGAATAGGAAATAATGCAGTTTGAAGTTGAAAACGTAGAAGCTTTACTTTGAAAGTACTTCCCTCCTCGTCAGATCTGCCTGCCACTCCTTTAAGGTAGGCAGGAAACATGGAATACCTCAGTCTCATCAGTAGTGCTGCTCTACAGCTCAGCCACTTTTGATATTCTTTCTTGCTGACAGCACTGGAGACCTTGTCTGTACTTCTCAGCCTCTACTTCTCCCAGGCCCTGAAGAGATAATGATGCCCTTTCAAAAGAGCTCTGAACACACAGCCAGTCCAGGTTAAATTCCTTTATGCATGGCCGTCTCCATCTGAAAGCTACACCCTCAATCCATCTCAAACTATTTTAATACACATTCTCTTCTTTTACATTCTTTCCCCAACCCTTCACATGCCTGACTGGACTCTCCTTTGGTGTGACACTGTGGGATAAAACCCTGGACTGCAAAGTCAGTTTGAACCACAAGTGGTTCACTGAAACTCACCAGTGGCTCCTCAGAAACCCTCTACAGGGTCACTATGAGTCAGAACTGACTTGATGTCACTCAACAACATCTTGTCTCTATTTTCTTCAGTCTATGCTGTTTCGGCCACTTCCCTCATATTCAGGCCTCCGGTTTTTACCTTAAGAACTGTCAATTCCTTCCCTTATATTCCTGGTTATTCCCTTAAATTACCGTACCACCTCTATCCTTTCTGTGATAATCACTGGCCATTCACTCCATGTGGCCTCAGAATCTGTCCACCCACTTGCTAAATGAAAACCAAATGAATGCGTGAAATCCCTCAGTCTCCGTCACACTTAGCCTTGCTTTCAGTCCCTTCTTGTTCTTGCTTCAGATGGTGACACTGCCTTCACGTGGCTCATCTCCAGCTTTACTGTTCTCAGTTTACTGCTTCTTCTCACTGAGGGTGTGCCTCAAGCCTCGGATGTACACACTCCCTGCTTTTATTCCACACACATAAACCATGCTCCCATGGTTTCCTCTGTCACTTCTGTTGTTGTTGTTAGCTGCTGTTGAAGCAATTTGACTCAAAGTGACTCTAGGCACAATGGGATAAAACACTGCCCAATCCTGCACCCTCCTCACCATTACTGTTCTGTTTGAACCCATTGTTGCAGCCACTGTGTCAATCCATCTCATTGAGAGTCTTCCTCTTTGTTTCCCTGACCTTCTGCTTTACCTGCAGTCCTGATGTGGCACTGTAGGATTAGCACTGGGCTGTTACCCACAAAGTGGATGGTTCAAATCCAGAAGACACTCTTGGGAAACCCTAAGGGTTTCTATGAGTTGGAACTGACTCGACAGCACTTAACAACAACATACCTTACCAAGCATGATGTCCTTCTCCAAGAACTAGTCCCTCCTGATGATATGTCCAAAATATATGAGATGAAGTCTCTCCAGCATGACTTCTATAGAACATTCTGGCTGCACTTCTTCTAAGACAGATTTGTTCATTCTTCTGGCAGTCCATGGTATAGTCAACATTTTGCCATAATTCAAAGGCATCAGTTCTTTGACCTGCCTTACTCATTGTTCAGCTTTTGCATGCATATGAGGTGACAAAAAAAAAAAAAAAAAACAAACAACCACATGACTTGGCTCAATACACCTTAGTCCTCAAAGCGACATCTTAGTTTTTTAATTCTTTAAAAGAAAGGGGTTTTTTTGTAGGCAATTTACCCAGTGTAATACATCATTTGCTTTCTTGGCTGCTGTTTTCTTGAGCATTGCTGTGGATCCGCGTAAAATTAAATCCTTGATGACTTCAACCTTTACTCCATTTTTGGTCCAGTTGTGAGGATATTTGTTTTCTTTATGTTGAGGTGTAATCTTTGATCTTCATCAGTAAGTACTTCAAGTCGTCTTCCCTTTAAGCAAGGAAGCATGTGTTATCTGCATAGCACAAGTTGTAAATGAGTCTTCCTCCAATCCTGGTATCATGTTCTTCATATCATGTACCTTCTTGGATTATTTGTTCAGCAAATAAACTGAATAAGAATGGTGGAAAGATACAACCCTAACAAATACCTTGCCTGATTTTAAACCATGTAGTATCTCCTCATTCTGATCAAACAACTGCTTCTTGATCTATGTACAGGTTCCTCATGAGCACTATTAAGTGTTCTGGAATTCCCTTTGTTTGCACTGTTAGCCGTAGTTTGTTATGATCCACACAATTGAATGACTCTGCATAGTCAATAAAACACAAGTATTCTCTGCTTTCAGCCAAGATACATCTGACATCAGCAATGAGATTCCTCATTCCCTGTTCTCTTCTGAATCCACCTTGAATAGTGGATGTACTACCACAACCATTTTTTAATTATTTTCAGTAAAATTTTACTTTCATGCAATACTAATGATATTGTTGCTGTTAAGTGCTGCAGAGTCAGTTCCAACCCATAGTGACCCTGTATAGGGTTTCCGAGGAGTGGCTGGTGAGCTTGAACCACCAACCTTGTGGTTCAAACTGACTTTGCAGTCAAGCGCATTAACCCACAGCGCCACACCAAGACTTCATACTAATGATATTGTTTGATAATTTCTACATTCTGTTAGATCACCTTTATTTGGAATAGGACACAGATATGTACCACTTCCAGTCTGTTGGGCAGGTAGTCATCTTCCAAATTTCAAGTAAGCGCTTCCATTGTATCTATTTGTTGAAACATCTCAATTGGTATTCCATCAATTCTGGAGACTTGTTTATTACCTATGCCTTCAGGAAAGCTTGGGCTTCTTCCTTCAGTACCATAGGCTCTTAAGCATGTGCTACCTCCCGAAATGGATGAATGTTGACCAATTTTTTTATGGTACAGTGTCTTTGTATTGCTTTCATCTTCTACCACTTCTCTGTTAGTTGGTCATACCATGGCTTGTATATCGCTACAAGGCTGGAAGCTATGCCTTCAGTTATTTCAAATACCCATGGTGGATAGGGTTCAGAGGAAGCTTCCAGACTAAGACAGATTAGGAAGAAGGAGCTGGTGGTCTACTTCAAAAATAATTAGCTAGTGAAAACCTTGTGAATAGCATGGAACACTGTCACCTCTAGGGCTCCCAAATTCATACCTTTAGCCCTGAGTACCAGTCTTACATTTTAGCTTCCTAGGTATCTTTGCCTTGCATTTTGGCATCCTAGGCATTCCAACAAGGAGTTCTGGTAGCTTAGTGGTTATGAGTCAGGCTACTAACCTCAAGGTCAGCAGTTTGAAACTACCAGCTATTCTGTGGGAGAAAGGTGAGGCTTTCTGCTCCTGTAAAGAATTTTCAGCCTGGGAAATCCTGTATGGGGTAACTATGATTCAGAACTAACCCCACTGCACACCACCACCACCACCACCACCACCACCAAGCATTCCAATAAAATAAAACTCAAGTTCTTCTCCATAACCCCCAAAGTTTCCATACTCTGAGACTTTCCTATTCTTCTAAATATTAATTATAACTTCCAAGGCATTTAGGAATAAAATGTTCAAATCATCTTTGATTTTTTTCATTTTCCTGAAAATCTAATTGGTTACTTAGGCCTGATTGATTGAACTCAAGAAATGTCTTGCTAAATTCTGCCTTTCGGGACAGAGATATTTTGCTAGATTTCAATTCAGATAGTCTGCCTGGGATATTTATAAAGGGAGAATCAGGGCATACAGCAGGGACACTGATAAATGGGTTTGTGTTAGAAGCTGGGAAGCCAGGAGTGTGGTGCCCTTTCTGCCCCTAGTACACACTTAAAATGAGCTACTTGGGTGGCCACAGCCCCAAACACTTTAGGCTAAAAAGGAACAAGCTTCAAGCTATTTTAAAGAGAAGACAGAGACTATAGAAAGTATTAAAGCATTTTTTAAAAACAGACAAACAAAAACTAATATTTTCTGCATACTAAAAAATAGCCAGTTTAGTTGAAATTCTGTTCCTTGGGGCTCATAGACTGATGTAGTCTTGAATATATTTCTGTCATTCTGTATCCTTTAAAAAGGTCAGAGAAATCTGAAAAACTTCTTACCATCACTGCCTCGAGATGATATTGATTTCACATCAATGGACTCTTTCCTCCTATTCTTGTAACGGAATGAATGAGACTCTAAGGATTTCAGGTTAGAAAGGGGCATGGTTAGTTTTCAGTGGAGGTGCAGGTGAAGATCAGACACTTTTTTCCCTCATTCTCTAAAGAAATCAAACTAACTGTTTAAGTACTATAAAATAATTTTAAGAAATGATAAACCACTTTCTCTTCATCAAGACACACAGAATGAGTTATCATACTAGTTACAAAACTATACCTTAATCTTGTGGCACCATATTACATCATGGTAATGGAGTTTTCACCAGGGATGATTTAGTTCCATGAATAAAATATTGTTACGGAAGTAAGCATCAAATCTTGGGGCAATGTTTGCTTTCGCAGTAGTGTTAACATGCTGCTATGCTACAAATGAACACACGTATTTTGTCTGTTTTTTTAAAATTTGGAAACTTTGGGTGAATTTCCTAACTAGAGTTAGTTTTTGTTCATTTCTTTCTTTTACTTGGTTCATCCTGACCTAAAGGAAAACCCATTCACTTGGGTGGGGGAGGTTCTTATGTGGTTATGTGAGGAGATAAAACACTAGTGAAATCCACAGAAACTTTTAATTTATTTTGGGAAACTTTTCCAGATCAATGCTGGACACCTCTGAAAAGTCAGGCTTCTAGATGGTCTAGGTTCTCTTGAGGAATGATTTCATCAAGAAGTGAAGGGAAGAAAATGAAGTTTTAAAACTACCCCCCAAATTTCCAACAACTAAATAAACTCTCACCCTTGTCCCCATTTTTTTTTTTTTTTTAAGATAAATAATGTACTTTAACTTTAAAGGAGATGCTGTATCAGTTTTGCAGACTTTGAATTGAACACTCAAAACATGCTATCACACTGCAGCAGATTTAAGTGTCTGCCAGGGCTGCAGTGCTGGCTTCAGCACCGTGTATTTTTGAGGCATTGTCTTTGTGTGGGAGTAACCCAAGAGCAAGGAGAAGAATCCAAACCAGAACACAGAATCACTCCTCACTGTGCTAAACTGACAGGCAGACATGAAGGTTTTAGTAGGAAGACTGCAGTTCTCGGACAACCATAAATGGCCAGAATCCACAAAAGACAAGAAAAAAATGCTTTAGGAATTTTAGTGTCTAGTCACACCAAAAAGCCTCATTGTTAAGAATACCAACTCTAGAGTCGAACTGCAAAATTTTAAATATTCCAGTATGCTAACTAGTATCTGTCTAACCTTGGAAATGTACCTAATGTTTCTGTTATGTGATGCAGAACTGAGTCCTACCCAAAGTGACCCTGTGTAGGGTTTCTGATGAGCAGTTGGTGGGTTTATTCTATACTGTGTAGGGTTTCTGAGGAGCAGTTGGTGGGCTTATTCTATACTGCCACACTAGGACACCAGCACTTAGCATAGCATTTGGCATATACTCAAACCTGGTGTGGTGCTAGAGGGTAAGCACTGGACTGCTAACTGTGCTAACCACAAGGTCTTCAAACCCCAAAACTGCTTTCAGAAACCCTATACAGGGTGGCTATGAGTCAGAAATGACTCGACAGCGCTTAACAACAACAACAAATGCATTTAGTCCATGTTTGTTACAACTATTAATTATATATGTGCATTTGAATAGATACCTTTTTCAACATGTTGTTGTTAAGTGCTATCGAGTTGGTTCCAACTCATAGTGAGTCTGTATAGGCTTTCTGAGAAGCAGCTGGTGGGTTTGAACTGCCGACCATGTGGTTAACAGACGAGTGCATTTTCACATTATAATGTCTTAAATACTTTTCTATATCATCTTTAAGCCATTTATTTTACTTGACAATAAAAAAAATCTGATTCAGTAAAAAATGGCTAAAACAATGACTAAATCTGAATTATATTTATACTGCATGAGAAAAAGGGAGAACTTGTTATCAAATTAATCTAAACACCATATCCATAGAACCTCATCTTAAATGACCTAACTTAACAAGACATTTACTGTCCTTTTGCCTAATTTTATCTTCCAGAGTCTGCCTTAATATTTGCTTGGCCTTGAATGAATTTCAACATTTCCTTGTAGAAACATCTATGGGTAGTGGTACTTTGATAATCTTGTTAGAATCATAAACGTCTTTCAAACCCTGAGAAACAAAAAATTTGTTTTTAGCCTATGCAGGAGCTCAATAACCATAAAAATTCCTAACATTTATTGTATATCAAATGATAAATGTAACTTAGGCAATATTTAAGATTAAATTCAAGATTACAGAACACAGAAAATTCTCAAAATGTGGTTCCCAAGTAAAACTAAAGTAGGGGGTGAGTTTCAAGACGGTGGCTTCTGTTGGCTGGTTGAATTCCAAGCCATGTATTAGCGACTACTCAAAGGTATAGGAAGTCTGCTCTTCCTGATTTTATGCCAGCTAAAACAGCAACAAGAGACATTTTTCTTCAATAAAGGCTACAGAAGGCCATCTCAATAAAAAGAATTCATTATTCATTATCTCACCAGATGTTTGTGGAATGAATTAAAAGCTCCAACCGAAGAAAAGAAAGAATAACAATATTTAAAATAACTGTCCTCAAAGGCATAAGGATATTGCGCTGCCAGTAAAAATATAGCTCTCACATACAGAGTGCCTGCTACACACCAGACATTGTACTAGGAACTTAACGTATAGTTCTCTCCAGAACAGTTCTGAAATCTGCATAGGGTGGTTCCCATTTCACTGACCAGAAAATTTCAGTTTAGAGAAATTAGTTTGTTCTAAGTCAAAGAGCTAATAAATAGTGGAACATACACTTTTCAGCAGGCAATGACTTAAATGTATCAGTGTCCTGTAACTGCTAATTGGCTGATTATTATGTGTAAGTAAATGCTAGGCACTAAAGGATATGGGAATATATATACATATAACAGTTTTTTGGGTTTTTTTAGCACAGTTAATAATTTATATAGTTAAAATAGTGTCCTCACTGTAAGGGCTATAAGAAATCAATGGAATCATCTGAGGGAGAGAGGAAGAAGAAGGAAAATGAATGAATGAGTGTGTGTGTATGTGTATGCCATCGTGTCATCCCTACTTTCTAGAAAAACCAAAGGAAGATACCTAATAGTTAAATGTCAGGCATTGCTAGATGTTGTATCAATTTGCCTTTAATCTTCATAACAATAAGATGGGAGTTATCATTTTATTTTACAAATGAAGACACTGAGGCTCAGGAAGATTAAATTAAATAGTTCTAGAAGGTGACATCCTACAGGCAAGGTTGTTGTTGTTGTTAAGTGCTGTAGAGTTGGTTTCAACTCATAGCGACCCTGTATAGGGTTTCTGAGGAGCGGCTGGTGAGTTTGAACTGCCACCCTTGTGGTTCAAACCAACCTTGAAGTCAAGTGCTTATCCTATGGCACCACACCAGTAGAGGGGATAATTAGCTGGGGTCTAACTTTATGCAGTAGTGGCTGCAAGCCACCAGTAGGGAGAGACTGCATTAGGTGGAATTCTTGTAGGAAAAAGAACTTTAAATCTTTAATAGCAGACTGATTTTTTTCCTTTGATGATCAGAAGGTAATTAATCTCAGAACAGTGTATATGCAGAAGTTATTAGCTCCACTTCCTTCTTTTTAAGGATGATGACCTCAAGGATCAGACAATTGAAGTCTTGCCCAAACGATGAGACAAGTGAGCAGGGAGGGAGCTGGGAATTCCTGACTCCCAGGCCAGGGCCCATCCATCTTTTTTGATTGTACAGTCATTGATGATTGCAATGAAAGGGAAGCCTAAATATGGTTGACAACAAGTCTGCACTGGACTTTTGGATACTTTATTTTGGTTTATTTACTCTTCCTGATCTCTAACCAGGAAAAGAGAACCAGGATTAGGAAGGCATTTAACAGGAAAGGTTGCCATGAATGAAGATTCGAGGAGTTTTTATGGGATTCTGTGTTACTTCGGGCTCTATAACCTTCCTAAATCCACACCAAGATTTTAGCAGCCCAGGTTCTGGGGTGATGAATGTCTGTCTAGACTTCTTCAGACCTCTTTATAAACTTGAACCCATAAATGTCTAAGTTTGTAAGAGTCAAATTGAAGTATTCTCACCTGTCTGAGAATTGTCTCCTGAATCACGATGAATCTTGTGAATCTAAAGTTGTTCAAAAGTTCGATAAAACAAGAGAAAGAGATTTTAAATACAGTATTAGCATAATCCTAGCCAAACAATTTAGTTAAAAAGCTCTGAAGACTTCAAGAAGGCAAGAAGATGCATAGATAACAGGAGATGAAAGGCATACAGTACGTGATTCTACCAAGGTCTTTTTATTTTGGGGGCACTTCTAGAATGGCCGAGCCCTAGAGCAGGAAGGTACCCATGGCATGAGCTTTTCCAAGCAAGCATCTGAACCTCCAGTCAGCTATTCTCCTTTGGGCTGTCTGCAGAGATCCAGAGACAAAATAGCTATAACTACATTTAAGCTTTAAAAAGGTAATTAATATGTAGCCTGTTTATATTTTGGACATGTTATAACATTCTTCTATAAAGTCAAAAAAGCCTGAATTTAAGCTGGGTGATGTGTGTCCATGGAATCAGTTCCGACTCATAGTGGCCATGTATAGGGTTTCCAAAGCTGTAAAATTTTTATGGGAGCAGAAAGCCTCGTCTTTTTCCACGTAACTGCTGGTAGTTTCGAACTGCTGACCTTGAGGTTTAGCAGACTGACTCGTAACCACTAATCTTCCTGAACAGATATTCAAATACCTGTCAATTGTCAAGCCATCGACACTGAGTTGATTCTGACTCATACCAACTCTATAGGCCAAAATAGAATTGGAAGCTGTAAATTTTGAGTGTCCGGTTTGGCACTGCAGGATAAGCATTGTCTGCTAACCACAATGTCAGTGGTTCAAACTCACCAGCTGCTTCTCGGAAACCCTATATAGGGTCTCTATGAATTGAAACCGACTCCACGGCACTTGTTGTTGTTGTGTGCCGTGGAGTCGGTTCCAACTCATAGAGACCCTGTATAGGGTTTCCGAGGCTGTAAATCTTTACGGGGGCAGAAAGTCTCATCTTTCTCCTGCAGATCAGCTGGTAGTTTCAAACTGCTGACCTTGCAGTTCGCAGCCTGATTTATAACCACTATGCTACCAGAGCTCCTTAACAGCAGCAAATTTTAAGGAAGTAGAAGACCACATGTTTCTTCTGTGGGTGGCTGGTGGATTTGAACCACCAACCTTTTGGTTAGCAGCCAAGATGCTTAATCAGTGTGTCACCACGACTCTTTCCATCAATTATACACAAAGTCAATTTACAAAATGTTTCTTCACAATAAGATCTGAATTTTAGATGCAGTTTAACACCCAGTGCATTCTCATCCAATTTTCCTGTGCTGGTGATTTTATCAAGGTTCAGAAATGTCTGATAAATGATTAAATCAAGTCATGAACACTAGGAATCTGCTTTCTTTAGAGGTCAGCATTTCTAGTGTTAATAACTACCAAGACACTGTTAATCATGTGAATCATACTTGGACTCATGCTCCTTCACTCTAAACACACCTACTTCCAGTTGCTCAAACAAGCATGTAGATGGGCTGAGTTAGTTTGAGAAACAAGACAGATGAGTGCAGTGGATTCTTTATGAAGGATGGTGAGTATGGCTTAGTACCATCAACTATTACACATGTATCAGAAACAGGCAGACTGTTGATCTAACCACTGAAAAATAACCCTGTAAACCTGAAGTATTAAAATAGGGGTTTTCTATGAATTAATTCTGTTCAGTCCATTCCACATCATTACAGAAATAATTACAGGAACAAGCTATGTGATATCTTGGTCATATGGTGACTCATTTATCCCATCATTATGGGACATTTTTATTTCTTTTGTGAACACACGTTTTATGTTTTCCCTTTTGGAACAAAGACCATTTGCTACTAAGCTTTTGAGCACAGTATGAAATTTTGATACTAGACTCAATGAATACAATTTTTGCCTTGCAAATTTTTTTCTCAGTCAGTTTCAGCTCAGAAGCAAGCAATGTTTAAATACTTAGCTTTTTTTCTCAGAATCACAATACAGCTCTCCTGTAGTAACAAAGTCCCATGGCCCCCTAGATTGCACACACGAAAAACCCTTTCTCATCTGGCCTCAGCCCCCACAGGCCAGGTGACTGAATGGTGGGGCTCCTGAACCTTCCAGGTGGACTTTGTGTTCTGCCTATAGAGGAGGCAGCTACAACGTCCAGTAGGTACACAGGCCAACCCTGCCTTTAGGAAGGAAATGTGCCCCTGCCACTGAGGGAGAGGACAGGTCCATTTCCATCTGCTGATGACAGGCTGACTCTGGTCTGTTTTTCTCCATGTATGATGTTATCTAAGCTGAAAATGGTGCTCCTCCTTCCGGCCCCTGCCACCCTCAAATGGACTCATCTGCTTCAGATGGGCTTTGAGCACCAGAGCCTGGAGATACTCTTTGACCCTCAGCTGCTTTACAGGCAGAGGTTCTGTGGGGTTGTGTCCACATCTGCTGCAGAAGACCCTATTGAATGAGTCACTTTGTGATCTTCTTCAGCAAGAACAGTGCCTTAGGATCTTTCATCAGCCATACCCCAGCAGTGCTAGTTTTTGACTGAAGCTTCCTGACTCTGATTATCTAATCTATGTGCCTCTTTCAAACAGCCCATTGTACAACTAAAGATACACTTGGATGAAAACATCCTTTAAGAATTAGGATTCTCTTCTGGAGGTCTAAGCCCACTACAACTCGGTATGAATTTTTCTATAAAGTGATTTCCCTCTTAATACTTAATTGAGCTCACTGAGAAAATAAATCAGGAATTAGTGGTTATGTAGTTTGGTATTGTCTGGGATGAACAGCCTGAGGAGGCTTGTGGCCTGGGCACTGTTGGGAGAGTCTTCTAAAGGTGGAAGGTCTTAAGGATGTGCTTTGCCCACTGATGACAACAACCATCTCTGACATGCTTCCAGAGTGGTAACAACTTTACATTCGTAATCTCTAATTATTGTAATGCCCTTGTAAGGGAGACAGTGTGCTCATTCCTTCTGACAGACAAGGAAGCTATGGTTTAGAGTAACATGCCTAAGCCACCCAGCTAGGATGTGGCAGAATCCAATTTCAAGTGGTGGTCTCTAGCTCTAAACCCATTTCCTCTTGATCACACTGCTTGCTACAGTGTGACCGCAGAGGAAAACCCTGTGTGTTTTAAAAGCAGTATGTCCTCAGACATACCCCTGGATCCATGAAGGACATCTTTTAGGAAATGTAGTACTCCTTGACATTTTGGGGACGGTTTGAATCTTTGTTATCAAAAGGTTTTGTCACATGCACGCTACAGCAAAGAAAAAGAAAGACAAGGATTTAATATCCCCCACGTTGATCAATCTCTCTGTTGTGTGGGATTTTGTTTGTTTTCCTGTGTGAAAGCTTTAAGTACAGAATCTTTTATGTTCAGTAGTGACTGGGAATTTTGACATTGGATGTTACTAGGGAACCTGGAGGCTTTAGTACTACAATTTCTACAACGACAACACTCTTGTCCTTGGCCTGTGATGCTTTTACTGGAGCACAAAGCTGAGATTTCTCAGCAAACCTTGTAGACTGAAAATTAATTTTTAGAAAAAAAATAACAGTTTCAAGCTTTTCATTATTTAAAATACTATGTTGTTGTTAAGTGCTGTCAAGTCAGTTCTGACTTATAGTGACCCTGTATAGAGCTCCCAAGGTCCCCACACATCTTGCTGCTACTCTCTGCTCAGATGCTTGGTTTAAAACATTAGACTATGCAGGGCTCTAAAAGGCACTAGAAATTCTACACGTGTGTGTGCCTATGTGTGTAAGATCTCTGGGTCATTTGGACACTGCTAAAAACCTTGAGGGAATGAGTTGCTGGCCCAGGGTCTCAAGACCATAGTCCCAGGGGACACCATGGTCAACTGGCATAACATAGTTCACAAAGACAATATTCTATATCCTACTTTGGTGAATCACATCTGGGATCTTATAGGTTCATGAGCAGCCATCTAGGGTGCAACTACTGGTCTCTCCATGTGCAGAAGAAAGACGAGTGATGAAAATTGAGGATATCTGGAATCAGTCCAGTGGACTAACAGAACACGTGAACATTAGAGTCCATAACTCTGACACTAGCCTAGATGGTGGTGTCTGACTACCACCTCTACTGCTCTGAAAGGGAACACATTTGAAGGTCCTAGATATAACGGAAGACAATGTGGAACAAAACTCTAAATTATAAAAAATACTGGGCTTACTGGTCCAAAAGAGACTGGAGGAACCCAACACTAGCCCTCAGCCACCCTTCATGTCTAGGATAGAACTCACCGTCATGGCCTAATTTTCAACCAAGTGGTGGGTAGGTATATGATGGGAGACAACAACACTAGTAACAATAATCATTCAAAATCAAATGGGCAACATTTACTTACGAACAAAGTTCAGAAGGGCTGGAAAAGTGGGTGGAATGGAAACAGGAAGCATAGGGCAGAAGTAGGTTAACTGTTGTTACTTGGATGGGATTGCAATCATTGAGATGAAACAAAGTGTGTAATTTGTTGGATGTAAAACTGATGATTTGCTCTGCAAACCTTCACTCAACAATAAAAAGTGTCAAAACCAAAAAAGTCTATTTTCTCTACACACCCACCGGAATCGCTAAAATTAAGAAAACTGACAACACCAATTGTTTTCAAGGATATGGAAGAACTAGTTGGTAGGAGTACAAAATTGTATAGCCACTTTGCAAAAGGTCTGACAGTTTCATATAAAACTAAGCATACACCTCTCAGATAGATGATCCCCATCACTTGTCTGTCCTACTGTGATGGCTTGTGTGTGTTGAGATGGTGGAAGTTATGCCACCAGTATTGTAAATACCAGCAGGGTCACCCATGGTGCATGGGCTTTAGCTGAGTTTCCAGACTAAGATAGACAAGGGTTTGTCATTTCTGAAGGGTTAGCCACTGGAAATCTTATGACTAGCAATGGAATACTGTCTGATATCGTGTCGGAAGATGAAGCCCTGAGGTTGGAAGGCACTCAAAATATGACTGGGGAAGAGTTGACTTCAATGACGTGAATGGAGTAAAACTTTTAGCATCTTCATTT